ATATATTCAGTATGGTTATATGGGGGAGAATTTATCATCAATTAATGGCATTGTGACAGAAGTTAAAAAGAAAGTTCTGAAATTATACATGATAAAACATAAGACAGGAATGAAGAAGACTCAGTCTACCTTCCTCAACCCCTCACCTACACACACCCAGTGAGGAAAATACTCACCACCGCGGAGCTAGGTGGTATAGACCACTTACTCTCAGCACCTCATTGCTCCTAATAATAATCAGAATAATAAAAAAGCATATGCAACAATATTAATATAGCAGCCAGTTATCATTTATTGAGGGCTTGATCAATGCCAAGCTCTCTCTGTATATGGTTTCATTTAATTCTCAAACTTGATGAGGTTTATACCGTAGTTCCCACTTAACACAGGAGGAAAGGGAGACGTGGCCCGCCTTGAGCGATGGAGATAACTTGGGAGGGGCCTTCCTCCTCAGTTGCTGTTTCTACGGCCCTCCAAGGCTGAAATGAATGCAACTGTGGTAGGCTACAGGTGGCAGCAGTGTTCCTTGGGAGAAGGGACTCTTGTCTCTTCTAGGACATGTGTTATTTTGACCAACAGAAGCTAATCTTCCAGCAACTTCTCAAACCTTTGGTTGTCTGTGCAGATAGCTGCTCCCCTAGCAGCTTTCTGAAATTTCAAGGAATCATCAGAGACAAGAGCTTACAACTCTGGCAATGCTGCTTTATGTCTCCTCAATTACAAAGCTCCTGACAACCACAAATGCACCCTAATGTGGCTAGGGGTGCACCGAAAAGCCCTTCCAACATATAGCTAGGCCTTGGTTTTATGGATTCAGCTAGTTACTCAATTTCAGCGAGTTAAATATGGTTTGCGAACGAATTTAGCCAGTGTGGACTTTTAATCTACTTAATTCTGGTTCAAACACAGCTCTAGCAGATCCCGTGGACTGTATTATCTAAAGCACTGCCCCAAATCTATTTTTCATCTTATTCATAGATGCTTGATTTACATAGCAGCCATTTAACTGATAGAATTACAGTGATCAAATTAATTTAACTTGTGTAAGCAGCCAAGTTGGATCATTTAAACCAAAATCAACATTGAGGTCTAAGTTATATTATTGGCTCTCTACCTAAATGTAACTCACCCTTTCCTCATATTTTAAATGAGGAAAACAGCCTCCTGCAAGACCCTTGGCCCTTCATCTGACTCTCCCCCGCGCCTGCCAGCTTTGAATTCTGTTTCAAGACCATGCTGGCTAAATCTGGTCACTTTTGGAAAGCAGCCATGTTGATCAGCCGCAGAGGAACTTGGGGAGCGCCTCCTTTCTAGCAGCTGTGGCAACAGCTGCCTCTCAATGTTCAGGTTCACCTCATGGTGAAAACACAATAATCATATTTTGGAGTTCAGAGAACCAGCGTCCCTGCTGAGTGACTAGAGACTCTACACGTAGAAACATAACTACCCCTTAGCCACAGCCGATTTCCTTACAAGGGCCGGCTGTTGATCACAGGAGGGAAGAGAACAAATTCACAAAAGTCCACCTCAATACCAGAAAATAAATAATGGCAAAAGACCAGTTTCTATAAAAAAGTGTTTTGTAGCATCACACGCATGCCTGCGTATCTTATAATAAATTACACAAATTTTTTCCTTCTCCATAAGAACTTTTTAGAGCTAATGATTTTCGTAAATTGCTGCACATAAAAATGTCTATTTCCGGTCTAGATTCGGGGACTTTTATTTAAGAGGTGCTAGGTAGAGTTTTAGAATATGAATTTTTAACAAGCTCCCTGGTGAGTCTGGCTTAAGTTGTCTGCAGGACACTTTGAGAAACAGTGTTCAGAGTCTCGGTGAGTTTTGGAATAGTGGTAGTATTTATGCAAATATAATTATAAGGATAAAAAGATAAAAACAAAGATTTACTGTCCCTGTCGTTTTCCTTTTCTCCTGCAAACATGAACTCCACTTGGGGAGCCTGGGTGGTCCTGGGTGGCTCAATGGGTTAATCATCTGCCTTTGGCTCTCAGGTCATGATCCCAAGGTCTTGGGATTGAGCCCCACATGGGTCTCTCTGCCCAGCAGGAGCCTGTTTCTCCCTCTCCCTGCTGCTACCTTCTGCTTGTACACTCTCTGACACATAAATAAATAAAATCTTAAAAAACAAAACAAAACAAAAAACACGAACCCCACTTGTTCTAGGCACCTGGAGGAACACAAATACAAATTGTAGTGTTTGTAGCCTTGAAGTCAGCCTTGGGTGACCAACTACCCCAAGAGCCCGAGGGGCGGCTTCCTGGGATGTAGGGTGGAATCCAGCCCTGGAAGGAGGAAAGCCCCCAGGAAAACTTCCTACACTACAAGGCACACCAATGGCTTCAAAGGAAAGGTAAACAAGTTCCTGCCAAGCCCTAGAGGAAGAAACAACCAATTCTAAGAGGATCGGAGGAAGCTCTATGAAAGCATTTGCATTTGAGGGGAGCTCAGCTAAGAGAGAAAGACCCAGGCAGAGAAAACACATTTGCAAAATCGCAGAGGTAAGACAGTATCCTGAAAACTTGAGGAAATACTGATTAAGAAGATTTTGGGCGTGAGGACTGGGAACTCCGGAGAAACGAGGCTGGAAATTAGACCAGGAAAGTTGGTGATGGTTTGGGAAGAATAATTATTTCATGCTTGCTCTGTTGGGATCTGTTCGGTGCTTTAGAACTTAAACAAGCAGTATCAGGAGCTGTTGCAAGAGATGAGGAAAGCGGGACGGAGGGTCTAATTCATTGTGGTCACCACAGGAAGAGGAAATAAGAATGTTTTCAAGGTTTCCACGAGATCTGTGTTTGCATGAGATGATTAAGAGAATTGGGGAGCACCAGAGCAAGAACGTTTCTTTTTGGTGAGGAAGCTAAGATACACTCAGTGTTATTTGTGTTCAGGGGACTAACCTAGACCCCCCTAAAACCTTGTACCCTCAAACTATATGTGTGTGTGTGTGTGTGTGTACACATATATTTTAAATCTCTTCGGAGTCAGTATCAGCTGGGCTCAGCTGAGCAGTGCTGGTTGACAGAGCAGCAGGGCTGAAGTTCAAGGCTGGGCGGCTCGGGCTTTTCTCTGTAAGGGGTGTGAGGGTGGCTGCACCTGGTGCCTGGCTTCCAAGAGGTCACAGATGATGCTGCCCGCCTTGGAAAGGCTAAGTGCGGACTTGGCATTGCGTTACTTGCATAACATTACTGCATACCCCACCGTCAAAGCGGCCAGGGGGCGGCCCAGGGTAGGGGGAGAGGAGGGACAGTGTCACACCCAATGGGTGCAGCCATCCCTGCCCTGCCACAGCGCCTGTATAGAGGGCACGTGCGGAGCTGTCCTGGGGGACCGTAGTGAACCCCCGCCTGGCTCTCCGGAGAGAGATCAGAATTGGAAACGTGAGTGGAGGGATTTCGTGGGGGAAAGTTAGCAGTCGAAATCTTAAAAAATGGATGATTAGAGCAGGGAGTTGAGAAAGCAACAGGACTACATTTAAGAGAAGCCTGGGCGGGGGAAGGAGTCCACAGAGAGGTCGAACCCTAACAGTCAATCAAGAGGACGCTGGAGGACTTACGCGGCCAGCAACCGCGCGGACGAGACGCGAGAGGGAAGGCGGTGCTGGGAATGGGAGTGGGCGGTGGCGCCCCCTGCCGGAAGGTGGGTGCGGCTGGGGGAAGCACGTGGGCGCGGGACGCAGTCTGGTTTGCAGGTTTTCCAGGGCTTGGGGAGGAGTCAGCGGCAGGGAAGCAGGAACACGAGGAAGACCGAAGGGATGGCTTATGGAGGGCACCTCCGGCTTCTGAAAGGAGGATGAGACAGGAAGACACAAGGAGAGGATGCTCTGGTATGGGGAGGGGAGAGGCTCAAGTACATGTCAGTGTTCCCTGTGAAGGAGGAACAGAACTGCTCCGCGCTAGGATCAGGGAGTCCTCCTCCTCTGAACATCTACAGGACATTTCTTCTCCAGTTAGTTACGCGTGCACGAAACTGAAGAGCGTTCAAAAGCACTGGAGATGAGAAATCAAGGGGTGCAAAAGCCAAGTTTTGTTTATCATTTTCCTCATTGTTTTGGTTTTAACTGTGGAGAATCAAATGAATTTAAAAAAGAGATGTCACAAAAGTTAACAGTTTAAAGCAGGAGGGTACAGTCACATGCTCACTAACTTTTGCAAAAATACTGGAAAATATATGGGACTAGCTATATTAAATGATAGTTAAATCTCTTCTTTATCTCGTGGTATATAGATAGAAATATTCTTTTTGCATCTCTTTTTTTGGTGTAAATTTCTGCTTTAGGAAAACCGGTTAATTATATGACCATTTGGACGTTATATATATGTATATATACCAAATTACTTTCAGCTAATACTTTCCCTGCATAGAGACAGAAATTCTTGGACAGAAAAATACTGTGAAATAAGAATTGAGCAATTCAGCCTGAAGAATTTAATTGACTAAGTCTAAGACTATCACGAAGATAAAAGGCCAGATAAACCAGCCTTTTGTAACACATATACCATGAAAGAAGCATGCCTCCTTGCAGCAAGTGAAAACAGACAGAAGGCTACTACCAGGGGTGCCTGGATGGCTCAGTGGGTTAAGCCTCTGCCTTTGGCTCAGGTCATGATCCCGGGGTCCTGGGATCGAGCCCCGCATGGGGCTTTCTGCTCAGTGGGGAGCCTGTTTCCCCTCTCTCTCTGCCTACTTTTGATCTCTGTCTGTTAAACAAATAAGTATCTTTAAAAAAAAAAAAAGGCTACTACCACTCTTGGCCTGTAAAAGCAAGATTTTAATTTTTATGTCTTCATCATGTCTTGCCTTTACTAGAATATGAGAAAAAAAAAGATGCATGACCAATGGAATTTACAAGTATTTTGTTTGCTCACAAATAAAAATATACACTCTTGGAAGAGCGGAAGTATGTCTCCCATTTTTGCATCATTGTGCCTGGCATAGAAGCTCTCAGAAGGATGGAGAGTGACTAAATGAAGCATGAGTATTGAAATCAGCTTTATTTGGATATAACCTGAAATATCATAAAGCAAAATTATAAATCAGGATGCAGGTATTACAGTGAATCTACCCTATACATATCCACCCTGTAACACTTTAACTGTAACACTTTAAGTGCCTTGCAAATATCTCATTTATAAAGTCTGCTCAGTAAAATAGTCTAAATATTAAATATTAATTATAAACAAAACAAGTCTCCTAGGAATTTGTATACACCCACTGTATTTTATACAATAATTGTGCAAGCACAGAAACTTACACATGGATAGGATGGGTGGCTAAAGAACCCCAGCTTCTGAACTAATAGTAAAAAAGCATTACTAAATGTATTGAAAATATCTTTCAGTATTCATTGGTAGAAAAAAATAGAAGTTAAGATTTTGATTTATTTCATATTGATCTTTGCTGTAAGCAGATAGCTTTGGATGCATATACATTTTCATGAATTCAGCACCCCTTCTTCCATCTTGCTTTAGAGAAACCAACAAGGAAGGCTTATGGCGTATTGGAAGAAAAGCAGTGATTTCTATTTGAAGATTGCTAGAGGATATCAAGAGCTGTACCATTTAGCTCCCATCACAACACCAAGAAAAATATGTTAAAATAGCTATTTTTAGCGTACATTATTTCATCCAAAAGTAAATAATGTAGAAATAGGACATTTCATTCCATGCTTAGAACCCTTTACTGTAATGGGTAATCCATTTGATTTTATTCAATGAAACAGATTTTTGATATCTGGTTTGGATATTCTTGGTATGCTAATAATTTAACTTTCATGATTAGGAGTTCTCACCAAGAAGATCCTAAACTATCTGCTGAAGCTAATCTGTAATTTTGCTTCTTTTTCTTTGTTGTTTTTGCATGAGGAAGAGGGGGACAATGTCTCCAAAAACACTGAATCTTTATCAAACATGACTACAAAATTCTAATCATTAGGTGCATATATAAATGTGGTTCTGTGTGCTATACATGTCTATGTGGACATACATGCATACAGTATCCTTATGTACATATACATTCTAGCTATGGGTTTGTTTTTAACTTGAAAAACAAAAATGATGATAAAGAGGAAAATGAAACAAAGCCACACAAATTGAGCCTTAGGGAGGCTAAGAGACTAAGCTACTTATTTATCAGATTGGCAGAAACTGGCATGGCCAAGGGATGCTGGGATGCCTGCTCACCTACATTTAAAGGCAATGCAAACTCCCAGGGACCCTTAGTCCGTCTGTCTCAAAATCATATCCATTAGCACGTGATGCATGAGTAGGAAACCTAGGATGGCACATATTATTTTAAAAGTGCTGTTCACAAACAAATATTTTATATATATTATATATGTATTTGAGATCATCCTAATGAAATGACCAGGTTTTTGTATTTAATGGCTAAAGTGACATTGAATGTTAGCAATGTAATTTTCTGTTACCAACAGTAGTATCAATAATTCTTCGATGATAAATTGTAAGGGGAAAAACTGAAAGAATGATAAATTAAATATTTTTATGCTCCCTTCATCCTGTAATATTACGTCAAGTGTTTGAACAAAATACAGAACAGTCACAGGGTTGTGCAGGGTGCTGCTCATTCCGAGAAGACTTTATCCCACATCAAGGTTAGACCTTCAATGAGTTTCCATTGGCTGAGTGATTGCATAAATTAATGCCATTCAGAACTGCTTTAACTTGCACAGCTGACTTTGGAAATGTGTGACTAAGCTTCTAAATTGGCATCGAAGGCACATTTACGGGAGCTGCCTTATCTCTGCACCACTTACTGCCTTTCATCCCCCCTCACTTCCTCCCATTATCATCATCGCTTTCATCAGAGGCAGCTGAAGTTTCCCCTTCAAAATCAAAAGCCCTTGGAGAACAATCCTGCCTTAAAGCTATGGGCTGCTGAAAATGTGTTGTCTCTTGCATTTACATTTTGATTAAGTGAAAGTCTCTTAATTTGGGCCATTATCAATACATAAATCTGTAGAGAAAATGAACCAGCATTTATAATGCAACCAACATTACATGATTTACTGACCTTATAATGAGTAAATACAGAAGGGGGAAAAAAAAAAAAAAAGTCCAGCTCTCAGGTCCCCTGGACATGAAACACTGTCAGCGACTAACAGGGCAACTCACATCTCTGTGAAGGCAAGCCTTAATCTTCCCGTGTCTCATCCCCTCGTTATTTCAACTGAACTAGGTCTCCAATTTTTAAAACCATCGCACAAATACATTTGTCTACTCTACTTGACCAATCTTCCTGTGGGAAGGCTTGTGAGTGGTAAAATGAAAGGCTCAAAATGGGTTTCCATACCTGATTGTGGACTTTGTTTGGGGATTTTGGCTACCGCTTGAGGGCTGGAGGTGGAGTGCATTCGCTGGTTGGCCGAGCTGTGGATGCTGCTGGGAATGGCCGCGGAGACGTTCTTGCGAGGCTTCATGTCTTGCAGCCACATGGGCGAGGCTTCAAAGGCCTGCATCCTCCTGGCATGGCTGTTGGCATTGACTTTCAGGTAGGCCTGGGCTTTGTGTTCCTGTAGCTCTCCGTAATTGGCATCTGTCACCCTGCATTCATATAAACCTTCATCCTTTTTCCTCACTTTGGAAATCTGAAGCTTGTGAGAGATGTCATTGCCTTGGACTTTCACTGTCTGAAAAATTGCAGGTGGGGAAAAAAAATAAAGCGCTACATCAAACGATTTTGTTCCCATACTCGCTCCCGAGCTTGCTAATGTTGGAAAATTAAAGGGTCTTAACAGCCTCAAAGCCACAGTCAGAGAGCTATTTATTTTCTCAACAGTCAAATCCGAAAGTCATATTTATCCCATTGCACTAACAACCGGCTTCACAAAATCACGGAATAATTAGTTCAATCCAGTCAGCGCCAGATTCTATTGGCCACGTGGTTCCTGTTTCCCAGGTTCCAGAGGCAGTCCTGCCATTTCCCAACCACGAGATTGACCTCTGCCTGGAGAGCTCCGTCACATGAAGCACAAGCAGAATATGGTAAATGATTTCGTTTATAAAGACTCTTTCCTTCACTGCAGGCTACAACGAACTCTGAGAGATCACAAAATTATTTGGTTGGTCACAACAGAGTTTGAGAGTGTGTTTTGATCCCCACATTGGGATGCCTTACTAAAGGTACTGACGAAATAACTTTGAATATTTATTTATTTATTTAAGATTATTTATTTATTTATTTGACAGACAGAGATCACAAGTAGGCAGAGAGGCAGGCAGAGAGAGAGGAGGAAGCAGGCTCCCTGCCGAGCAGAGAGCCCGATGCGGGGCTCGATCTCAGGACGCTGGGATCATGATCTGAGCCGAAAGCAGAGGCTTTAACCCACTGAGCCACCCAGGTGCTCCAACTTTGAATATTTAATATTCTACTCAAATGTTTGGTGCAGTCTTACCAACAATCATGGGGTGGCATGGCTTAAGGTACAGATTAAGATCACCTGGAGTCTTATGGTCAGAGGACATACCCTCTGCCATGGCAGGGTCTTTATGCCACTGGACCTGGAGATGCCATCAGTCAGACACTGGTCTGATTTTCGAAATTAAAGTTGGCTCTCTTATTTCTTTTAATAGTTTTGATGCCAGATTAATAGCAAAATTATATACAAATATTAAAAGATGATATATAAGTTTGTGTTATGTGTAATATACATATACACATATATATCCATAAGCATCTTTACCAGAACAGTTAGGTTTGACATACATCATATATTATCCATGATTGACAGGATAATGGATTTCAAAAGACTCTTAGGATTCAAGGATGTGCATGATTTTGAAAGACAGAGAAATGAAGTGAAGAAGACATACACTTTCAAATGGCCATAAGTAATTAAGAAAACTTGGGAAGTGGTCATCTGTTTTTTACATACAGAGTTGTATATACAAATATTTATCAATATTTGAACCATAACCATAGCCTGTATTTATTTATATGCAAAATTACATATTAATATACCCATACTCTGAAAATAATGGGAATAAATAGTTTCAAATAAAGTCTCAGTTGAGTTTCCTAATAAAGTCTGAGATAGTTGGAGTAGTTCTATGATGATTATTTTACAGTAGAGTAAACTGAGACTTGGGGATTTGGGTCCTGGATTCTCAGCATTAACTGTACATTAGAATCATCTAGGGAGCTGTTAGAAAATGGTTTCATTTAGGGGTGTCTGGGTGGCTTTGTCAGGTAAGCTCCGACTCTTGATTTCAGCTCAGGTCATGATCTCGTGTGTCATGAGATTGAGTTCTACACCGGGCTCTGCAATGGGCCATTAGGGCCTGCTTAATATTCTCTCTCCCTCTGCCCCTCTCCCTCCCTTTCTCTCCCCCTCTCTAAACTACTACTACTAATAAAAGAAAATGGCCTCATTTGGATTAATGTGGAAACATTAAGTTTGCCTCTTAAGGAGGCAAAGCTCATATCAATATTTGATCAAAGCGTTCCTGAGAATTCTAAGTCAACAACTGTTGGTTTAAGACACATGACCAAGGTCACCCTATTAAACTTCTTTCTATCTCTGTAACTAGAACTTTTGCCGATTCACTAGACTTTATGATCTTTTATAAAAAGAATACTGTTAGTAGCTATGTACATGATCACGTTATCTTAACCGTATGGCTTCCTAGTTCAGGATGTGTGAGGCTCTTCCTTATTGGTCTTTGGAGGATACAGTCATGGCTGAAGGGTGAAGCATGGTAGTCAGTAGACAACCTCGCCCCTATATATCTATAAAAATGGAATATTTAAGATCAGTATTGTCAATAATTGATTTTACCAGTAAAGCCTTTCTAGCACTGTATGAAAACAATAATTTCTGTAATATCATAATAATTGAATTGAAATATTCTAAAAAGTCAGTGAGTTTATGAGTATAAATTATAGTTTTTGTTTTATGTCTTACTTTGTTTGATATTTATACATTTATATCAGAATTTGGTTCTGTTAATACAATATATATTTATACTTTTAGTTGTTACGTAACTCCAATCTTATACCACTTTTTCACTATTGTAATGGCTCCAGAATAAGTTTTCTTTTTTAATGAAGGTTATTAAATTTTTAGATTCCTAAAATGAATAAATAATGGGAATATATATTTATACATATATTTATAGCATATGTACTAAGCAGACATACTTTCTGAATTAATATAACTATTTCATTTCTAATGAAAACTTGCTTATTATTTATGAATTAGTTAACCAGTTCTATCAATATAAAGGGATTCTAGGAGGTTTCACTGGTGGTATAGTAAAAAAATACAATTTTCTTTTTATTTCTAATTTCACATAGAATTATTAAAAGTTAAAATACATCTCTATATTTTCAATAGGCCAACCTCCTCCAATTATGTTTTATATTTATATTGCCTTATGGTTTTATATTTATATGATTTTGAGCATTTTCAGTAGGAATACATTGCATACATTATGAATCACATTGAAAATTCAGTTGTTTTCAATACAATTTCAACATAATTTTTTCCTGCCTAGAAAGATTCTCATAAGCTAGTGTTTTACTTCTTCTTCTTCTTTTTTTTTTTTTTTTTAAGATTTTTATTTATTTATTTGACAGACAGAAATCACAAGTAGGCAGAGAGAGAGGTTGGAGGAAGCAGGCTCCCCGCCGAGCAGAGAGCCCGATGCAGGGCTCGATCCCAGGACCCGATCCCAGCACCCTGGAATCACGACCTGAGCCGAAAGCAGAGGCTTTAACCCACTGAGCCACCCAGGCGCCCCGTGTTTTACTTCTTAAAGGATAATTATTTCTATGGCTTTGAATGAATATTAATATTGCAGTCCTATACTCCTACAGTTATGTAAGTGCTAAGAAGGGTAAGAAAAAAAAATGTCACACTGTTGGCTGGCAAATAATTCTCTAGTAATTGTTTAAATATTTACAATATTGAAATAATTTTATTGTATCCACTCTAAATCTGCTTCAATTTTTGTGTGCCCAGTGAAGTAAGAAAAAGAAAACTGGACCTCGTCCTGCGTTCGTGAAATTGCCTTTTCCCGGGACAGTAAGTTAAAAAGCTCTTAAAAACCTAAAATTCTCCAATTTTCAGCTTGGGCCTGCCTGGCAGCTGACAAAGGCGCGCGTCCCCTGTCGCCTGTCGCTGTGATACTCACACTGATCTTGGTCCCGTCGTTGTCGGGGTCTCGGTCGGGCACCAGCTCCACCTGCGGGAGAAGGAGACGATGCTCAGACTCGGGACCCCGACGGTTCCCGTCCTGATCCGGAACGCAGCCGCACCGAGCCAGCTCGGTGAGGCTCGGTGAGGCTCGGTGAGGCTCGGCGAGGCTCGGCGAGGCTCGGCGAGGCTCGGCGGGACCCAGTCCGGGGCAGTAGGGCCATCTCGGTCGGGGTGATTTAGGAAGGAGACCGACCAGCACGCGCGCAGCCCCGGCCGGCGGGTCCGCAGGTCCCCGGCTGAGGCCCGCGCGGCACGGGGCGGCAGGACCGCGCGGGGGCGCTGCCGAGTCGCGCGCGCTGGGATCTGGATCCCCGACACGCCGGGCCCGGGAGAGCTGGACGGACTCCCGGAGGGGCGCGGGCGCGAGTGGAAGTTTGAGCGGACAGGACTCTGCGTCTTTGCCCGGCCGGCCTCCCCTCCCTGGGGTCTCTCCAGATTTCCTTGTTTCGCTTGGACAAGTCCGCCGCGTCTTTTGCCGAACTGTCCGATCTCGGCTCCGACCCGCTCCCTCCTCCTCTCCCCGCTGCTTCCCTTTCCCAGTCCCTACTCCTTTTCTCCACACCTCCCTTTCCCCTTTCTCCCCTCGCCTCCGCCCCCCTCTCTAGTGTGTTCCAGAGTAGCCCCCGGTACCCTCCTTAGTTCACTCCCCATTGCCTCTACCTTCGCACCTCCCCGCCTCTCTCCGCCGCCCCTCCTCTCCCCCTCCCCCACTTTCTTCTCCCCTTTCCCTCCCTCCAACGCCCACATCCCCTTACCCCTCCTTTCCCAATACCCTCAATCTCTTTTCTCCCAACCTCAGTGGTGAGAAGAACTGACGTGTGTGTGTGTGTGTGTGTGTGATGGAGACACAGAAAAATCCCTCCCGACCCCACCGTCCTGGAAGGAGGACAGAGGGTGTCCTGGGATGTAACAACACAGTAGTCCCCTAATGACAGCTGGACAACAGCTAGTACTAAAAGGAGGAGGTTATTCCCAGTTTTAATCGGGAAACACTCCACACCCTGACTTCCTCCATGGTTTTAACATAATGTCACCAGGACACATTCCGGCTCACTCCCTGGCATCAGTCACGCTAAGAGAGCCAGGCGGGTCCCCAGGGACATCCAGTACCCCTTGGTGCACCTAGAAGACTAAGGGAGTGAGTGGGACAGACGCACGCGGCATTGCGGGCGACGAGACTCCGCTACCTGCGCACCAGCCACCTCGGCCCCGGGCTCCAGGTCCTCGGGCCCCCGCAGGAACCACCACTGGATCTCCAGATACACCGAGGCAGAGCCACTTTGGAAAGCGCAAGACATCTCCACATTCTGCCCCTCGGTCGCCGTCACGTTCCGCGGAAACTCGGTAAATTTTGCTGCAAAACAGAAATGCATTCTTTTGGAATACCCACACCACTCTTGTCAGCGTCTCCTTCCCTGAGAGCTCGCTATTTTTCTTGGACTTAAAAAAAAAAAAAAAAAAAAGGCGACAAAATCCCTCTGTGACTTCTCGGACTTTGCCTGGTTCCCCAACCCTCTTTCCTTTGCCTCATTCCTGTTCATTTTTGGTATCATGCCTAAATAACTTTATTGTTGATGAAGTCCAGAATAATGGAAAGGTTAACAAGCTGGCCAAATAACTCATCTCTGTTAGCCAAGATGCCCATGGTTAGATCCATATACCTTTTGTCAGACTGCAGCATTACCCGAAACTTAAAGAGGGATTCAATGAGCTACATCTTTGATAAATCCGCCAAGCTGGTATATAGGGAGAGCTTCTTGCTCTAAGTTTCTAGACAATCTATGACTAAATCATTGTTTCAAGTCATAGAGAATGGATCAGGATTACCTGTCAAAATGCACATGCCTGATCTATCAAAACAATCATTAGCCATTGTGATTTTAAGGCCACAGCAGTGAAACAATTTGCACACTTTCTAAGCTGTGGACATTTCTTTCTTTCTAGATTAACCTTCATATGTGTTCTCATCAAGCTGTATGGTAAATTGCCATACATCATGGCATACGAGAATTACACACCTAGTTTTAGTTCAGAGTAAAGACTGTATTGAAGTCACCAGAGATTCTTTTTTTCTTCAGTCTTTTCACTATCAGTCTTGACACTGCCTGTCTGCAAATTCAGAGTTAAGGTGAAACTCACAAAAATGAAATGTTCCCTTACTCTCAAAGGTATTTCTTTAACATGGAATGCTCTGGGTGGTTGTTCTTCTCTTGTCCAAGGGATACTTTGTGAAGAGCTGATGTTTCCCTAAAAGTAATCTTGGAAAGATTTGTGGCTGATGGAAGTGCACAGTTACAACGCACACTCGTGGACAGGAGGACTGAGGGGCTGCAGGACTGATTCAGGGTGGATGCACTTTAACCCCACTTTTTAAAGAGAGGCATCATCAGTGTGTCTTTTCAAAATTTTAGGAAATATCAAAATGATCTCAACTGGCGTGGAACTGTATTCGTACTTGAAGTAGCAGATGTTAAAGAAGGCATTCTGATGTGAAAAGGACTTTTCTGTTTAAGCTGGAAGGAGGAATATGGCATTTCTGCTTGCAGAAGTGATGCAGTCTTTTGGCAGTAGAGATGTGATCTGTTCATGGTGCTGAAACGATCACTGCAGCCTGCGAAGTCCCCAACAACTGGATTCAGCAGGCTGCCGCGGCTGCTGCTGCTTGGAATGCAAGTCGTGCCTTTTTATGGGTCCTCAGAGGAGTCTGTCCTTTGATAAACACACATGCAAACGAAGTCGCAAGGACCCAGAAAAAGGAAACTAAACCAATTCTGCCTACACTGAGGAGGACTGGCGATGGAGAGCCCCCCGTCCCCAGCTCTGTTTGTTTGCCATGATTATGTATGCATGAGTGGTTACCCAGTGCATGCACACATACACAAGGCGCACACACACACACACACACACACATACACACACCCCTGTGTTTGCGCTTACCCAGGAACCCACTTCATTGTCAGGAACCAAGTAGATTTGCTCTCAAATCTAGCTTGTCTACTATTTAATAAACTTTAAGGAAAAACGCCAAACAGAACACTATTCCACTGTTACTTGCTAGGACTCTCACTACATCTGCTTGGCCGTTCTTTGAATATAGAGAACGCACACACACACACACACACACACACACTGCAAGCAAATGTATATTTGCCAACGAGCACAGACTTACCTTGAGAAGACAGCCCTTGTTGTACATATAAAACGGAAAAGAAAACAAATCCAACATATGCCAAAAAGATCCCCATCATTCCAAAAGGGGGGGGGGGGTCACATCAGTGAAGCCAACAGCCAAAAAGCCCAAAAAGAAAGGAATGCAAACGTCTCAGAGCCCTGCGCACGACACTGCAAACATCCTGCTGCTCGCTCGGCGAGGACTGGCTCTGGGGAGAGGGGAGTGCAATTCGCGAAGGTTACAACCAGCTGCTCGGATTCGGAGAGGCTTCGAGTCCACACTCGGGCTTGCAACGCGGGGAAGTGCCTCCGCGGCTTCGCTGCCTGCTTTCAGCTACCTGGCAGCTCGTCCAACGTCAGCCCGCTGCTCCGGCTTGCGTGATCACTGCCCTCCCTAAACGCCGAGCCAGCTCGGGAAGTGGGGAGTGGGCAAGAGGGGCGGGCTGGAGGACTTCACCGGGCTCGCCGCGCCGCAACTTTTCCCTCTAATGGCTGCGATGATGCCTTTAACTCTCTGCGCGCCGGACAGCTCCCCACCTGCCAGGAGCTCGGGCCGGGCGGCCCGCCGCAGGCTTCGGGCTTGGCGTCTCCGTCTACGTTTTCCTTCTGGAGAGCAGGAGCAGTTATTTTTTTCCAACTTGCCTTTTTTCCCCATCGATTGAATCTTTCTTGCCTCGGCAGACGGGATCGCTCGGCGCTTAAGAGGACAATACAGTTGTAGGGTTGCGGTGTAGGGTTGCAGGGGGCTGGGAGCTGCAGATTTGGGGAGGAAGTTGGGGCATTGTTGAAGAGGAGGGGAGGAATGGGATGGGGTGAAGAAGACTGCTTTGGGGCGATGAAAACAGTCATTTGAGGGAAATGTCGCTTAACCAGTTATTAACTGCTTTAACTAGAATGATCACATGCTATTATTCCTCACGAATTTATTTCCGAACAGCCTCCAATAGAGGAGAAACAGCTCATGCAGGCACCATAGCACTCTAGCTGGCAAATGGAAAAGACAAAAAGTATAAAAAGTCACGCACTGAGAGAATTTTCCAGAAAGGAGAGCCCACCATACTATGATTACTTTTATTTTATTTTATTATTCTTTTAAAAATTCATACACCCCTTTGCCTTCTCTGCTCCCATCTGTATTGTGGAATGGGGGAGGGATTTTAAATACCAGGAAGGTCTTCATTGCACGATTTTTTCTGTTTACTTGCTTTTCTTTTGCATGACAATAACTATTTAATGTTCTTTAGGATATATGAATAAAGAATATTATTTTAGGAAGAAAAGTACAATAAGTTTTAAAATTTGGAACAAATCTACTTATTTGCCCTGGAGAAGGTTTGAGATAGAGATATTCTAGTCTTCTTAAAAATCTACAAACAGTATGTTAAAGACTCCATTCGTCCTTATGAAGTCCAACCATAAGCTAGTGAATTTAAATCTTTTTAACAAAATTAAAATCATTTACTATCTGAGCAGAATACCAGATATTTTATTCCCATTATTATTTCTATGCAACTATACCACAAATCTTCAAAATTATTTCGAAATGTGACTCAGCCTTAACAATGCTGTCAGGAAACCAATGCAGTATACGTAAGTTCATTTTACTGGTAAAGAATTTGTAGTTGGCTAATTCCTTCACTGACCAGAAAGAAATTAACCTTAAGAGAGCTGTTGGATTTTTAAACCACTTAACCTTCTACTGCTGAATGCAGCAATAACGGAAATGATCAGAAAATGTTATAAAATACAATATTATTTATTTTTCTGAAGATATATTTACCTTTCACTGTGAGTAGAGACACAATATAAGATTGATAAGATCTGGAGAAAGTCCTGGGGAATATTTTACATCTGTTTATGTTTAGGCCAAGACTTCATATCCTTCTTGTATTGAGCAAAAGATTCTGAAGTATGTCATTTCAAGAAAATAAGTCTCTTTATCTGCAAATACTCTCTCATGAAGAATGTGTTCAGAATACAGAAACAATCCAAGTTAATATACTTATGCCATACTTAACATTATTTGGAAAATAAACAAAACTTTGCAGGTATTAAATCCCCAGAGGTTAATTCTCTCCAGATATAAATTTTATCCCTAAAAAGATATGCTCAGTATTTATTTCATGATTTTAGCCTTAGTTGAGGCATTTAACATAAACATGAGATTACTATGTCATGAATATGTCCTGACTTCAAGGTTATCTGCTGTTAGAACAGTTTCCAATATAAAGAAAAAGGCATCCATTTTAAGCAAGGGAAGTTCTGAATTAGTTTAGAGAAGCACCTCAAATTCTCTCAAGGGGAACTTGATCTCTGTAACTATAAAAGTACAATAAAAATAAGTTGAAAAAGTATAAAAGTGTGAGAAATCTTTTATAAGACAGATAAACTCTCAAACTACTTTCTAAGCTTTTAAGTGACAAAAGAAAGAAGAAAAGAGGAAGAAATAAAGTAACAAGGAAGACAAAAATTGGAAAAGGATTTTTCTTGTGAAAAATGCCTGATAGGTATTTTATTTTCAATTTTGCCAAGATAAACCAATAATTTTATATTAAATATCATTTATATTGTATGAAATGATACTGTTGTATCATCTCAAGGACTGTAAATAGTGTTGGTAAACACACTTGCATTATTTCTTTTAGAACATTTGCATTATTAAAGACAAAAATGTTTCTATAATAATAGTTTGAAATGATAAGAAAGTTTAATTACAAAGTAAATATATCTAATATATCAAAATGTCACAGTTCTGAGACAAAGTCCCACTATCTTTATAAGTCCTTATAAAACACCACATTCTCCTATAAAATTGGTGGTAACTTACCAGGACAGATTACTTGTTTGCATCCAGAAATGGGAGAGACAGTTTCTTCCCATTTCTCCTTTTCCAAAATGATCATCGCTGGTGCCTTACCCTATAAAAATGACTGCAAATCTCTTCAACAAACAAACAAACAAACAAAGAAAAACCTATCTGTGAACTAATGCTCCAAAAATAAAATCTTAAATCTCATTTTTTAAATTGTTTTCTTGCCTTCTAAATTAACTTTTGTTTTTGTTTTTATATTAAAAATTAAATATTTGTATCACCACACTATTTTTCTTCTAAAATAATATGTAATAGGAATTCTTACTTCAATATGGTCCTTCCAAAGGTGTAAGTCAATCTGTTTGAGTTCATTCCATTGCTTTCCTTTGGCACTTCATTTAGATTGCTTTGTACTCTTTTCTTGTATATAAAAACTTATTTAACTTTATCTTTCAAACACTGTTGACTTATGATGTTCACAATTTTTCCCAAACACTTTCAGAGCCTTTGATCCACCCAAGAGCTAAGCAGGAGAGGGGTTCTTCAAGATCTCTGATTATCAACTGCATTGTCCCTTTCTCCTAAGACAGTTTTGGGGCATTTGTTCACTTTGAACTTGATGGGAAACCATATTTCACTCACAAAGGCTCATGATAAAATTATTTTCCATATTCTACTTGCATAATCTGTCCTAAATTGGGGCTTAAGTGCCCAATGTAAGCTTTTTTTTTTTTTTTTTAAGATTTTATTTATTTATTTGACAGACAGAGATTACAAGTAGGCAAGAGAGGCAGGCAGGGAGAGGGAGGAGGAAGCAGGCTCTCCACGGAGCAGAGAGCCCGATGCGGGGCTTGATCCCAGGACCCTGGGATCATGACCTGAGCCGAAGGTAGAGGCTTTAACCCACTGAGGCAACCAGGCGCCCCCCAATGTAAACTTTTAAAATTATCTCAATAATTGGAAAACACCAAATTAAGTATTTTATTTAGAAATAACCTCTAAAATAAAACCATCTAAGAAATTAGATGATCATCCTTGTGGATCCAGAAGCATAAGCTTAATTTTGTCACATCTCTGGCAAGAAGGTTTAGTTGAACGTCTCAGAATTTCCATCCATGCACCAAGAGGTTCATTCTACTGTGTTCTCAAATATGATCTTTGGAGAAGCTCAAAACTGCATAGGAGAGAATATTTCAGGGCCTTGAGAAATATTTTCACCTGTAACCTTATGCCTAGAGTACTTTTTTTTTCTCACTTGGGGAAATAAAAACAAATAGACCTCTTTAGATATGGAAGCAGTATAAAAAACCCACAGAGAAATTCTTTCAACAGAAGAGAACAAGAGTCAGGAGAAAGTCATTAACTTGTATCAACTGAAGATGAGCTTTTGAAATTTGTTTTCCATTGAATTATAGAAGTTGATACCCTGGTAGTGCTGGGGTATGGTCTCCTCCACATGTCACAGTTTCAAAGATATGAGAGAGTCAAGGACAAGATAATAACAACAGAAACAACACAAATGACATCTTTTTCTGTACATGTATATAGCATGTCTTCCGAAAATGAATGGATTTCAGAAATGGAATCAAGCTTAGTAAGCAATCAATCCACACTGCTCATTCTACATATGACAGGCCAGGGATTACAAAGTGATGGCTGCTCACTTGTGTCCCAAAACCAAATCAAGACTTTCTTTCGTCAAGATCCTAAGATCAAAAATGCTTAAAATGAAAGATTGAAGATTAAATCTCTTAGGACAAGCAAACAAAACTTGTTCGTGCTCTTGACTTATAGGTTATTTTGAAAAAATGACTACTAAAAAGAAAATCAATTGCACCCAATCTCTCTCCCAGATGCCAGAACACAAGTCACCTGAAATTCCAGATGCTGAGAATAGTCCGTGACTTTCCTCCACATAATTTCTGGTTGTCTCTTGCATCTTATAAAATAAACAGTCCAGAGAGGAAGAATAACCAGTGGTCACTGAAAGTGATCAGCTTTGTAAACAGCCAGGTGGCCTATATTGACTAACTGCCCATTTTATGGCCACTGGTCATTTTGGTCTTCACACGTCATTTCTCCCTTTATCTTTTCCTTTAACACATGACCAAAATATAAATTACCTAGATCTAGCTTTTATTCTGTGAGTCTCTATGTAACTTTGTAGTCATAGTTCATGAAGTCAGACCTCAAATTATTCATGAGGTCATGTTATGTCACTATCAAACTGTAATATCAGGTCCTGATGAGACCTTTGGAAATGGCAAAGGGAAGTGTCATATTTTCTCTAAAAGTTAATAACGATCTGCTTAGATGTCCTCCACAAAACTTGTGGAACCTT